TGTCGCTGCGTGGATATGTGAACGATGTGATGCCCATGACGCGCTCTTTTGGCCACTACTCGCTTTCTGCGATCGCCTCGGCCGAGCCGAGCGTCTTTTCCGTGCAGCTGCATGATGCGGACGAGTTTGTGATCCTCGCCAACTCGGTCTTTTGGGAGTTCGTGCCGTACCAGATGGCGATCGATCTCGCGCGCATGGACCGCGAGAACCCGAAGCGCGCGGCGCAGCGGCTGCGCGACACGGCGATCGCGTTCGGCGCCGTGGACCAAGTCGCGGTGATGGTCGTGACTGTTGCCGCGCTCTTCCACGAGGCGCTCGACGTGCGTGCGCTGAATGTGCGTGCGCTCAATCGCGGCATTGCGCAGTCGCGCAAGGTTGCACGGCGGGCACGCACAGACAACGACAGCACGCTCGCACGGCTGGACAAGGAAGTCATTCCGCCCATTGGGCAGGTCGCAATTGTATTCACCGACATTAAAAACTCCACACTCTTGTGGGAGACAAATTCGGGCATGCAGTCTGCGATGCGGCTGCACAACCAGCTCCTGCGTCGGCAGCTCCGCTCGATCGGCGGCTACGAAGTCAAGACGGAAGGCGACGCGTTCATGGTCTCGTTCCAGTCTGTCGCGGCCGCGGTGCTGTGGTGCTTCTCTGTGCAGATCCGTCTCCTGTCGGTCGACTGGCCGCAGGAGATTCTGGACACGGAAGACGGCAAGGTCGTCCACGACGCCGACGGCAACGTCATCTACCGCGGCCTCTCTGTGCGCATGGGCATCCACTGGGGCTGGCCCGTGTGCGAAGTCGACCCGGTGAACACGCGCATGGACTACTTTGGCCCGATGGTCAACCGTGCGGCACGAATCAGCGGCGCCGCGGATGGCGGCCAGATCATGGTGAGCCACGACGTGATTGCCGAGCTCGAGCGTCTCATGAGTCTGTACGAAGACGTGGACACGACCGTCAGCGCATCCCACATACATGGTGCGCACGCACCCGCGCCGCTGCATCCGAGCGTGCCGGCCGAGATTGTGTTCCTGCGTCGACTCGGTGTCGGCATTATCTCGATCGGCGAGCGCCGCCTGAAAGGCATCGAAACACCGGAGCACCTCTCGCTCGTGTACCCCAAGATGCTCTGCGGACGTTTCCGGTTCACGCCGTCGATCAACAACGATGGCAGCGGGATGCAGATGTACGAGCCGACGTCGCAGCTCATCGAGCTTGGGCAGCTGCATCTGCTCGCGATGCTGTGTCTCCGCCTCGAGATACTGTCGACCGGCAACGTGTTCCCGGGCTTTGCGCCCACGGGCAACACGAGCAAGCACACGCTGCCGGCCGAGCGCTCGCGGATCGTGTCTGACCGTCTCGCGCGGCACCCAGAGCTGGTTCTTGGCCTCAGCACGCGTGACGACGCGACGGACGAGGAGCTTGCGGTCGCCCTGTACCATCTCACTACAAGGATATGCAACTGCGTGACAGCGCTTGCGATCCGCACCGAACTCACCGCCGCTCAGGGCAGCGAGGTGTCGCAGCTGCTCCAGTCTGTGCGAGGATTGTTCGAAGCATAATAAAAAGTATGGCCGCACGGGCCACGTGTAGTATATCGGCGAATTCCGGAAGTATTTTATTATTGTTTGCAGACGCGCGTCGGCTCTTGCGCAGTAATGCGCAGTAAAAATGCGCGCTGCTGGCAGGGTCCCGCGTATGCACGTGCATGCGAAATACTAAGAACACTGCGGCGGGTACGATAGGTCCCTCTTCACATAACCACCACTCGCCAAGATGGCATCGTACATGAACAAGTTTGTTGGCGCTGCCTACCCCGTCCACTCGCCCATCGAGAACATCCTCCCCAAGCCCGAGCCCACCGGCGTTGACCTGTACTCGCGCTTCTTCCTCGCCGGTGCTCTTTGCTGCTCGATCACCCACGGTGCTCTCACCCCCGTCGATGTCGTCAAGACCCGTATCCAGCTTGAGCCCACCGTCTACAACAAGGGTATGATCGGTGGCTTCCGCCAGATCATCCAGAACGAGGGCCCCGCTGCTCTCCTCACTGGTTTCGGCCCCACCTTCGCCGGCTACTTCCTCCAGGGTGGTTTCAAGTTCGGTGGTTACGAGCTCTTCAAGAAGCTCATCGTTGACCAGATCGGCATGGAGAAGGCCCGCGAGTACCGCATGCCCGTCTACCTTGGTGCCTCGGCTCTTGCTGAGTTCTTCGCCGACATTGCCCTCTGCCCTCTTGAGGCTACCCGTATCCGTCTCGTTTCGCAGCCCACTTTCGCCAACGGTCTCCTTGGTGGCTTTGCCCGCATCGCCCGTGAGGAGGGTCTCCTCGGCTTCTACGCCGGCTTCGGTCCCATCCTCTTCAAGCAGGTCCCCTACAACATGGCCAAGTTCGCTACCATGGAGGTCGTCCTCGAGAAGGCCCTCCACTTCACTAACCGCACCAAGGAGAGCCTCTCGGGCTCTGAGGCCACCGCCTACAACCTCGGCTCGGGTCTCATTGCCGGTTTCGCCGCTGCCATCATCTCGCAGCCCGCCGACACTCTCCTCTCGAAGATCAACAAGACCAAGGCCCTCCCTGGTGAGACCACCGGTGGCCGTCTTGTCAAGTTCTCGAAGGAGCTTGGTATCACTGGTCTCTTCACTGGTCTGACTACTCGTCTTGTCATGGTCGGTACCATCACCGCCTTCCAGTTCGCCATCTACGGCGGCATTAAGAAGTCGCTGAACGCTACCAAGTCGACCGAGATCTCCAAGTAAGTAGATTAGGTGCGATTGCTAGTGGGCAATAATTTTTCATATACTAAGCTTTTTCAGATGCTAAAGGCTTGGTGTGAGTAGCTCTTTATTTGTTCCTACATGTAACCTGCAGGCAAGGGTATATTTCGTGTGTAGAGAGTACGTAAAGCGCAGATCGCTGTTGGACGGCGGATTTTTCGGCTTGTCCACCAAATTTTTTTTTTATTGCATGGTGTTCTACGGCGCATGCTTATTATTTATCTCAGTGCATATGTCCGAAATTCGTCGCTTCCAGGAGTGCTTATGTACACATCTGTGGCTTTTGTGTGTTCCACGGACCCCGCCCCCCAAACTAAACTAAATACAGGCCGTCTAGGTCTGACAACTTTTTGACTCACGTGAGATGCACCTATGGCGCAATCGGCCTTAGCGCAGGTGGCACGTTCGTTTTTTGCCTACCTTCCGACATGGTGAACCCCCCTCACGGCGGCATTCTCAAGGACCTTCTCGCGCGCGATGCTTCTCTTGCTGAGCAGCTCCGCGACGAGTCAGAGTCGCTCCCCTCCATTTCCCTCACTGAGCGCCAGCTGTGCGATCTGGAGCTGATTATCACCGGTGGCTTCTCGCCGCTCGAGGGTTTCATGGACAAGGCCAACTACGACAGCGTGCTGGAGAAGATGCGTCTTACCGACGGCGCCCTCTTCCCTCTCCCCGTGACCCTCGACGTGAGCAAGGAGCAGGTTTCCGAGCTCGGTATCGCCGAGGGCTCGCGCATTGCGCTCCGCGACCCCCGTGACGACATCGCCATTGCGATCATCACCGTCTCGGACCTCTACTCGCCCGACAAGGTGCGCGAGGCCACTCTCGCCTTTGGCGCAAACGACATGGCGCACCCCGCCGTGGCATACCTCCATAACACCGTCAAGGACGTGTACATTGGCGGCAATGTGCAGGCGATTGCCAAGCCTCAGTACTACGACTATGTCGAGCTGCGCTTCACTCCCGCCGAGCTCCGCCAGTACTTTGAGAAGGTCGCATGGCGCCGTATCGTCGCCTTCCAGACGCGTAACCCGATGCACCGTGCTCACCGTGAGCTCACCGTGCGTGCCGCGCGCCAGCTCCAGGCGAACGTGCTCATCCACCCCGTCGTGGGCATGACCAAGCCCGGCGATGTCGACCACTACACCCGTGTGCGTGTGTACTCGAGCCTCATGCCCCGCTACCCCAAGGGCATGGCCACTCTTGCGCTGCTCCCCCTCGCCATGCGCATGGCTGGTCCGCGTGAGGCGCTCTGGCACGCCATTATCCGCAAGAACTTTGGTGTGTCGCACTTTATCGTCGGCCGTGACCACGCCGGCCCCGGCAAGAACAGCCAGGGCGAGGACTTTTACGGCCCGTACGATGCGCAGACCCTGGTGCGTGAGCACGAAAAGGAGCTCGGCATCCAGATGGTGCCCTTCCAGATGATGACCTACCTGCCCGACTCGGACGAGTACTGCCCTGTGGACGAGATTCCCGCCGGTGCCCGCACGCTGAACATCAGCGGCACTGAGCTGCGCAACCGTCTCCGCAGCGGCGCTCCTATTCCCGACTGGTTCTCGTACGAGAGCGTGGTCAAGACTCTCCGTGAGAGCTACCCTCCACGCACCCAGCAGGGTTTCACTCTTTTCCTCACTGGCCTCCACAACTCGGGCAAGGACCAGATCGCACGTGCGCTGCAGGTCAAGCTCAACGAGCAGGGCGGCCGCAGCGTGTCGCTCCTCCTCGGTGACACTGTGCGCAACGAGCTCTCGTCGGAGCTTGGCTTTACCCCCGAGGACCGTCACAAGAACATCCAGCGCATCGCGTTTGTCGCTGCCGAGCTGTCGCGCGCCGGCGCTGCCGTGATTGCCTCGCCGATTGCTCCGTACGAGCGCTCGCGCCAGTCTGCCAAGGAGACGATCCAGAAGACTGGCGGCTCGGGCAACTTCTTCCTCATCCACGTGAACACTCCGATTGAGTACTGCGAGAAGACCGACCGCAAGGGCGTGTACGCCAAGGCCCGCGCCGGTGAGATCAAGGGCTTCACCGGTGTTGATGATGTCTACGAGGCTCCCCTCAACGCTGACCTTACCGTCGACATTTCGAAGCAGAGCATTGCTGAGATCACGCACTCGATCGTGCTCCTGCTCGAGGCCCAGGGTCTGATTTAAAAGTGGGGTGGGAGAAACTGTCATTGCGTTAAGCTTATAGAGACTGAATTGCAACTTTCCGAAGTGTTGGGCAACTTGCCAGAGTGGTCTAATGGGTGAGACTTGAATATATATTCAGCCATCTCATGGGCTCCGCCCGCACAGGTTCGAACCCTGTAGTTGTCGATTTTTTCTTACGAAAACATTTTGCTGCTATTTTGGTAGCTCGCTCTGTAGGTCCTACTCACACACATCTAGTTGTCGCCTTCGTGCTCCACCGCAGACCCGCTGTCCGGCTCGCGCGCTGGCTCTTCAGTGTTGTCGGCGTCTGCATTAGCGCCTGCATTGGCGTTGGCATTAGCTTGCGCATTCTGCTCGCTTGGACTCGCCCTTGCGTTCGCCTCTGCATTAGCACTCCGTGACAGACGACGCGCAGCGCGCGCGGCAGCAAGATCCTCTTTTGCCGGGGCCTCCTCGGGCTCGACTGTCTTTTCGGCACGTGCCTTGCTCGGAGTCTTGCTCGGCGCCTTGCTTGGAGTCTTGGCCGGCGCCTTGCGTATGACACGGGGCTTGGCTGCCTCGGGCAGCTTGGCTTCGTTCGTCTCCGCGTCAGGGTCGTTGGCCATGAGACGGATCAGCTCCGGGTTCTCCTCGTGGTTCTCACGCATCTGGAGCGCAGAGGACAGCGGCACCATAGCCGGTATGACGTCCCGTAGAAAGTCGAGGTGTGCGTTCTGTTGGACGGCACGCACTGTCAGCTAGTATAGCAGGACGTACCCATATCGTCGTATCGCGCGATCTTGCGCTTGTTCATGCGTGCATTCACGCAGCTCTCTTCCACGAGATGCTTGACAAAGAGTTCCTTGTTAGCTGTGATACGCACTGTCGCCATGCTAATGGCGAACACGGCCTCCTTGCTGCACGTCTCGACATCCGCGTCGGCCTTGATAATTTTAGCGACGCGTGCAGCTGGAAACACCGAGACGCCGTCCTGGCGTGCTGGAGCCGGCCGTGGTATACGTGACGGGGGCGGCATCGGCGTTGCCGACGTGTCTGGCGCGTCCGTGTCCATGGGCGGCGCAGTCGTGTCGTGCACCGAAGACTGTGCTGTATTTAAGATCGTGTCCATATTAATACCGACGCGTCTCCACAATGGACCGCGACGCGCATGGCGAGTCTGAGCCTACGGTGCCGTGGGAGCGCCACGCAAACAGGGATATCATGCTCGTCGCGATCGATGCGGGCCCCACGATGCGTGTGAATGGCAATGCGCCCCTGCTCGAGGCGCTGCATGCCACTGCCACGCTGCTCGAGGGCAAACTCGTAAGCAGTCCGTACGATCACGTCGGCATTGTCTTGTGGAATACGGTGCGTGTGCGCTGACAGGCATCCTCACGCATGCTCTCCGAGTCCAAGAACGGTTTCCAGCCACACATGGTCGAGTACCGTCAGATAAAGCAGGTCGACGTGCCCGACACGTACATGCTTCAGGAGCTAATCAGACGGGCCGAGAGCAGTGACCCCGAGGTGCTCGAGCGGGACTACCCCGCGGCCAAAGCGCAGACGTCTATCGAGCATGTGCTGTCGAACGCGCTGCAGCTGCTCACTAGTGCGGCGCGCGCAGGCAGTCGACGTGTATTCTACATGACCAACCAGGACGATCCCTTCCCCAGGGCCAAGGAGAGGGAGCAGCGCGCGTGCATTGCGGTCGTAAAAGACTTTTTCCGGCGTGGCGTCGATATCGAGCCGTTTTTCATGAGCACCGGCCACGCATTCGCCATCAACGCGTTCTACGCGGACATTATTGGCGAGTACGACGACGGCATCGCCGACGAGACAACAGCGCCGTGGCGGCTGCGTGTGATGCAGGACCAAAACATGTCGAAGCGCAGGGCGTGGGACGCAGAGCCCAAGTTTGCCGAGCTTGCGCAGCATGGCGAGGGAAGAGCTGGACTCAAGAACTCGATCTTCGACCTGAACTTTGACCTGGGCGAGGTCGACGACGGCCACTGGGTCATTACCGTCAAGGGATACGCGCTTGTGGCTGACCGTGGTCGCGACATTCCGGTGCGTGTGTCGTCGTTCGGCCGCGAGGATCCGCTCGATTTGGACGAGATCATCGCGCACCAGGAGCTGTTTGACGATATGACCGGCCAGACGCTGTCAAAGGACGAGGTGCAGCATTTGTTCCTGCTCGGCGGCACGAATGGCGTGTCGATCCCCATCACAGAGGACGAGCTGCGCGACATTAAAGAGTCGGGTCATGTGCCGGGCATCGCGCTGATCGGCTTCGACGACGTGTCCAGGCTGCGCCTCGTGGACAATATCAAGCACGCGTGCTTTTTATACCCCTCTGACCTCCGCCAGGCGGGCAGCAAGTGTGCATTTGCCGCGCTGCAGCGTTCGATGCTGGCCAAGGACAAGTATGCGCTGTGCACGTTCATGCCCCGCAAGGGAGTCACGCCGTACTATGTCGCCGTCATTCCGCAGGCCGAGGAGCTGGACCACGAAGGCAACCAGCTCGTGCCGCCCGGCATGAACATGATACCACTGCCGTACGCTGACGACGTGCGTGTCAAGCCAGTGTGCGAAAAAGTGGAGCCTTCGAGCGCCCAGGTAGAGGCTGCCGAGGCGCTTATCCGCTCATATACCCGCAAGGAGCCGTTTAACCCCGACGTGTATACAAATCCCGTGATGCGCTACCATTACGACGCGCTCAAGGCGGTGGCGTTCGAGCGCCCGGCTCCGACGTATACAGACACGATCGTCCCCGACTATGCCACGATCGCCGAGCGCTCGGGGCTGCAGATCGCGTCGTGGAAGAGCACGTTCGAGGGCAGCCATCACACGCATATCCAGGTGGGCGGCCCCAAGAGCGAGCGAATCGTCACGTCATTCGCTGACCAGGACGCGGCCGAGCTGCGCAGGCGCTACGCTGACGGCACGCTCGCTCGATTAACAGTCGCTGATCTGCGCGAGGCATGTACATACTTTGGCATCAGTCGGCAGGGCCGCAAGGCAGAGCTTGTTGCGGCCCTCGAGGCGTATCTAGCAGAGAACAGCAGCTAAAGACGCGAGCCCGGGAAGAGGTCCTTGAACGCGCGCGGGTCGAGCGAGCTGTCGGGGTATGGAAGCCAGGGGCCACGGAAATGCATGTGGCCGCCGTCGACGGCGATAATCTGGCCAGTGATCCAGCTCGCCGCGTCGCTGAAGAGGAACACGGCTGCGTTTGCGATATCAGACTTTTGGCCGACGCGCTGGAGCGGAATGAACGACTGGACGACATCCTCGCCGCCCTTGGGCACGAGACGGTCGGCGCCCTCGGTGCCCTGGATCAGACCGGGCGCAATGCAGTTGCTGCGCACGCCGAACGGCGCGAGCTCCACGGCCAGAGCGTTCGAGAAGGCGTCGACGCCCGCCTTGGCTGCCGACGGCGCCGACTGCCACGGCAGTCCCGAGTAGTGGAGCGTGGCAGAAATGTGGAGAAAAGTGCCGTGAGAGGCCTTGACGTGGTCCATCGTTGCCTTGACGGTGTTGAACGTGCCCAGCAGGTCAATCTCGACCACAGTGCGGAACGCGTTCGGAGACAGGCCTTCGATCGGAGACATAAAGTTGCCGGCAGCGCCGCAAATGACAAAGTCAATCTTGCCGAAGCGGTCGATCGTCTGCTTGACGGCCTCAGCAAGCGTCTCGGGCTTGCGCACGTCCGCGGGCGTCGCGAGCGCCTCGGAGCCAGTGTCGCGCGAGAGCTGCTCGGCCGCCTTGGCGAGACGCTCAGCCTTGCGGCCGACGATCGCGGCCTTGGCGCCAAAGCGCATGAGCGCCTCGGTCAGTGCATAGCAGATGCCCGATCCACCGCCGGTGACAAATGCGACCTTTCCCTTGAAAATGTCGGGGCGGAACACCTCCTGCGGAGGCACGGGGCGGTGAATGAACGAGCCGTCGGACATGTGTGTGGTGAGGTGAGCGCGGTGCGGTGCGGTGCGGGGTAATTAGCCCCCGACCGACTCGCACGGACACCACTAACACGTGATATATTTTTACACGTGACATTACTTGAATGCGCGCTTCTCTGCGCGCACATCCCCTTCCTCACTCAACTCGACTGGAGCCAGAAATGGTGAGTGTTGAGATATGGTATGCTGACCAGCCGTCGCAGAAGTCGTTCCGCACCAAGGTCACCCTTGCCAAGGCTGCCCGCCAGAACCGCCCCATTCCTAACTGGTTCCGTCTCAAGACGGACAACAAGATCCAGTACAACGCTCACCGCCGCCACTGGCGCCGCACCAAGCTCAACATCTAAGTGTATGATGTTCGCTGCTGCTGCTGCTGCTGTTGCGGTCTGACTGCAACAACAGCTTACTCACTATAGGCTCCGGCCCAAAATTAAAATGCGATGTACGCTACGGCACAGGAAGCCGCAAGTCGGCGTGCAAAAGGGCGTCTAGTTGACTGTAATCAACGTGGTCGCGCGGAATGATGCCATGGCGCACGAAAAAGTCCAGCAGGACTGTTGTCAGCATGTACGTGCCTAGCGCGCAGTTGGGCTTGAAGCGCCCCTCGCGCAGCCATGCAAAGATAGTAGGCTGGTCGGCGAGTGTGAACGACTCGGCCTCGCCGTCGCATGGCTTGAGCTCGACGTCAGCAGGGAGCTCGAGGTCGTATACGTATCAGGTCAGCATGCGCGCACGCACTGCATCTCGGGCTGGTGCCAGCCTGCGGACGTGCGGTAAAAGTAGGAGATCGTGCCGCCGGCCTTGAGCGCGGGGCGCACAATGTGTGCAGGCAGACTCGCCTCTTCTTCGCACTCGCGCACGACTGTCTCGAGCACGGATTCGCCCGCGGTGATCCCGCCGGCGACAGAGTTGTCGAGGTACCCCGGCCACGTCTGCTTGGTGCGCGAGCGCTGCGGCACCCAGATGCGGCCATCCGCAGTGTATGCCGTGAGGTGGATGCCGAACGTCACGACGCCAAACAGGCCGCAGGCGGCACGCTCGAGCTCGAACACGGGCACGACACGTCCGTCGCGTCTGCCATAGATACTGTAGCGCTCGTCCCGCCACCCGTCGAGCGGGTCGGGGAAGCGCCGCGTGTCGCGCAGCCATGTGACGAACGCGGCGATGGCCTCTGTGCGAGTCGCCGGCGTATCGATGTGCGCGGCAAACGCGAGCGAGTCGCCGACCTCG